CGTGAGGATCAGTCGTGATGTCAAGTCCATGCCTCGGTGTCCCACTTCGCCGCTCAGTGTTCCGAAGATCTATCCTTATTGTAATCTCTCCTTATTGTTCTTTCTCGCTACACATACCCTTTCGTTCTAGTCCCTCCTTATTGTCTTTTACTCTACCCTGCAGGTACTACTCGTATAGCCCCTAGTAGTTAGTCTAGCGCTCTGCACCGATGCGCCGATCCGTAGATATAAATACTGCCTGTACGCTACTGTAGTTCCTCAGTTTAATCATCAACTTAGATCAACTTAGATCTCCCTTCTCAACTTCACTCCTCTCTAAATCTTCAGGCTCAATGCCTTGAAGTACGTTCTACTCGACCTTAGGACTTGATCGTCCTCTGGTCCACTCCTTGTCATCGGCGATACCGCCGCTCCGACTTGGCTGCTACTTAGCTCCTCTCTCTATACTCTCGATCTCCGGGGACTAACGGCGTAACGGCGGTGTTGTTAATAACTTCACTACTGTCCCACTCGTCTTCCGCACTTAGACACCTTGTGGCCTTGGCACGGTTACACGGTGTACATGATCTTAACACGCGAGTGGCAGGCATGAGGATCAGTCGCAAGTGGCAGGCATGAGGACCAGTCGCAAGTGGTGGGCAGTACCTCTGGACAGGTTAGTTGGGAGATGGGGATGAATCTAAATCTTAATTCAGCTGGAGGAGTACATTGGGTTAAAATAGATTCATCATTCATGTGTGGACCTAGAGAATATATAGAACTATAACAAAGAGTTAATGCACACACTCTGCCCATAACTATGAGAAAGACTGTCAGGGAAAAACCAAGTCCCCATTACAGGCATAGCTGCACTGTGGCCTGCTTTGGCTCTTACTGGACTTGGGCAGCTAACAAAGTGCTTCTCCTGCACCTTGAGAGCCAAAGCCCACACTATCGAGTTGCGAGCTCAATGCACCGATGGTCCTGGGTTTCGTGTGTTGAGCGGGAGGTGAGAAGGACATATACAACAGGTTATGTCTCAGTTCATAAGTCCTAGAATCTACATCAGCGTAAATATGAAATTAGTGAGTATTGAGAATTCGGCTTGAGGGGAACATTGAGGTTGAGAAAGTAATTAACAACAATGCAACTGGGGAAGCAGGGGTGGAGACAGCTGAACTCCTGAAGGTTAGTAATTGAAGAAATGCAAGAGACAGAGGAACGATAACTCAGGATCATGAACAAGTTAGCTAAACACATGGTAGCAAGCTCGCTAAAGCAGTCTGATTTCCGCAAGTTAGAGAGGCAAAGCAGCAGAAAGGAGCCCTGAAGGTAAGGAAATGCAAGAGACAACTGAACGCTGGACCATGAACGAGTTAGCTCAAATACATGGTAGCAAGGCCGCCGAAACCAGTCTGTTTTCCCGACGTTAGAGAGCGCGCACTCCATGAACAAGTTAGCTCAAGTACATGGCGGCAATCAATATCGTCAAAGAAACAGTTTGGATTGCATGAACTAGTTTGCAGAAGTACTACTCAAAGAGACAGTGTGTGATCCATGAACGACTTAGCTCTAATTTGTAGTACTAGGAATGTCGGGTCTACAAGCAAACCATGAATATTGACAATACAAGCAGACGCGAGGAGAAACATACCCTGTGGTCAATGCGTTGTGAATTCGTCTTGAGGGGAACGTCGAGGCTGAGAAAGTAATCAACAACGATGCAACTGGGGAAGCAGGAGTGGACCCATTATACCTTGCCCGTTATAGTCCTAGTCTATGATAGATCCACCTGAGTTCCGAGCTGAACAACAACCATCGAGTGCTACACAGGTATTTACTCACTGCAGCCAGTAGAGATGAACTTGAAGGAAGAAGCAAAGAATATCTTAAACTCTCACGATCATGATCAGTTCTTTGTTTGTTTGGTCTTGGCTTTGTTTGGTCCGGGTTTTGGCCCGTTTCAATAAACAACTCAACATCCTCTAATATTTTACATACTTTGACCATGTACTGCAGCTAACTCGTGCATGGTCTCTCATCTTTCTTGTCTATGCTTTGAACTCAATGATGCAGCTCTGCTTTACCTCGGGAACCTCTTCACACAATATTTGACTATCCATGCACAGACTATATGTACGTTCTTCAAATATTATTTCCTTAACTCACTCAGGACTATATAGAGCATTTTTGTGTTCAATAAAATATCCATGGATGGATTGAACCTTGCTGGACGGAGTCTTTGTGCTCAGTGGGCTGATAGTGAGTTGTCACAGTTAACCATATCGGTTCACTCATGGACCTATTTGAATCTGGATAGCCTAAAGAAAAAAGCAAAAAGGGCAAACAAGTGAAAAACGAAACGGAATCTATACCTCCACCTCGACCGAGCTATCCGAAAGCTACTTATGACCTTCTCATGATCCGTACAATTGTCATATCAGAAATCTCTGCAGAAATAGACACAAAAAGTTTGTGAGCCATTCTTCGGAACAGGCTGATACAGGTGTGTTTATTTTATTTTCCTCTTCATAAATAATTCTTTTGCATCATCTCAATAACTTCATTTCATAGCCCACATCGTATTTACCACTCCCCAAAATGCACTCAAAGCTGTCACTTAACTTCACGCACATATATCCAGAGGGAATCTACTCTCAGTCAAACTCAAGAAATGGTTGGATAACATAACCAAATCCATGCTCAATCCAAAACAGGCCTCCACCACATCCACCGTTGCTGCTCCTAGTTGTCTAGCCGTGCAGCATGAGGAATATCCCATTCAATACCTCACAGCAGGACCTTCATGCCTTGTTCCTTCCTTACGGCCCTATCTACTCTATACACATTCCTCTTGAAACCAATACCAACAACGCTAACGTTACCAACAACGGAGAGGAGCCATCTCCAAAAATCAAATTCTTAACCAAGATCACAATTCCGAACCCGAGGATTCACATTTGTTTGGATCCAATTACAGGTAAAGGCCGAAGTAAAGGATATGGATTCCTCAAGCTGAACACCCATGTGTGGACGCTCTCCGTGTCCTCCTTTGGGCGAATAACAATCCGAGTGTTGCCGAACTTTGGGAGGAGTGGTGGAAGGAGGAATTAGTGGCATTGTTACAGGCGGAGAAAATTAAACTGGAGAACGAAAAGGAGGAGTCTGGAAAACTTCAAAATTTACTTCATTTAACCTTGAATATTTCAGTAATTTTTCCACAGTATTAATTCAAGTATATCTTGACAATTATGTTTGATTACTCTTGCATAATGTAGTTGAGTATATCCTTCATATACACACTATTATTATTACAGGAAAAATCAGACAAAATAGGAGGAAGTTTGAAACATTGTCTTGAGTTAAGCTGTATGCCTTATGGTCAGAATTTTCCTCAGTATCTGTGAGGCAAATTTCAGAATATATTCCAAATAATCTGAGTTGAGAAACTTGCAGATAAATGACCATATACAAGAGGCGAGTGAGATTCAGATCGCGGGTACTTATGTTGCCACGAGAAAGGCCCAAGGCCTAGAACTTTATGATGACACCAGCCATTCTCATTGGCTTTTTGTGGCACAAACTCTGCCAATTTCGTTTAGTCATTGATTTTTGAATACTCATAAACTGTTTGTACAAACCCAGCAGAACCTATGTAGGAAGATGTCGTCAAATTGAAGGATTTGTAGAAATTTGCTCTTGTAGTCAACGGGCCTTTACGGGCCTTTCCATTCAATTGGGGGGGGGGGGGGGGGGGGGGGTTGTGAGAATTGTACCCGTGATCTGAATCTCACTCGCCTCTTGACCATATATGTCAAATAACCCTCTCATAATCACACAATAGGACCTTGAGATTAACTCAAGTATTTTTCTACACATTCAAGGCATTTAATCTTGTAGTAATTTGGCCTCAATTAATGCAAAAATTCATTGCAGTATATATTGAAATCATGTTTCCGAAATGCTTCCCAGTATTTAATGGTGATATTGACAAAAACTTTTTAATATCCTTTGAATTTAACTAATGACTGGGGGAAAGGACACAAGTGGCAGGTGCCGAACACTTTATGAAAGTGGTGGCCAGCCACCATTTAAATAAACTAGTGCACCTCCCAAGAATAACAAAACAGGCTTCAGCAGAGCATTTGAAAGCTTACCCTTATAGTAAGTATGGGGAAAGTTGAAGGAAATAGGTATAAGTTTAACCCTTATGCTAAGTCTACTTGCAGGAGAATTAGCTGGATAATCAATCCACAACTTATCTGCAAAACCTGTATCTTTGGCTAAGTGTCTGAAAGCAGTTGAGAGCATTTCCCAGCAGTGAGAGCACTCATAGCAGCCTGCTCTCAGTGCTTTTAGTACCGGGATCTGATGGGATCTGCTCTCAGCCCTTAGCCAAATATCTATGTCTTGCAGATGAAGCTCAGGCTGACTGATTTGCTCTGTTTTGTGCAAGACTCAGAAATCAGTAATTTTTTTTAGAATATTCCCTAAATAGTGAGTTTTTTTTGGCATTCTACTTAATCTAGGTTAGTATAGTAGATAAGATACTTCCAGACTACTGTGCTCCATGTCATTTGTTGTAGCTGGAATTTGGCACTAGGAGGGTGTGCTATAGACATGTGATATTAAGCATGAATCATCCGGCAGATCCCACATCGATATATATGGTGGCAATTATCTATATATGGATCCGTGGGAAGTGGGACAAGGCCAACTTACCCCCAACGAAATTGAACAAAACATTTTTGTAAGGAGCCTTACCTAAAGGTTCGGCAATGATATCTAGGAAATTTCCACGGCTGAAAAAGATGCTATCCCCCCAGTGAGTTGGCAAAAGCTTGAGGTCAAGCACGACTAACATGTGCCTGCACAAAAGTACTTAAAATTCGGAGTGTAATCGACCTTGCAAGCAAGGTGACTTATCATCTGAAAGGTAAAAACCACGCAACTCTCTCGTTTGACCATGCTTATCGAGATCATCGGCCAGAAACAAGATAGATATCAGGCGGTCATATGTATAAAACGTCGAAAACACGAATGACATTGAGCCAGGTCATATCACTATTACATTGTGATCTGAGAACTGTCTAGCCCGAGGGCATGCAGGAATAGATCGACATTTGCTAATTTTGTGCTACGTTCCTCTTCATCCACTACCCATCCCTTTTTCGCACTGAGTACGTTGTCAAGCACCTTTTCTCGCAAGGACGACACAAGAATTTGGTGTTGCATGGATGAAGCTTGCAGGGCAAGCGCAGCAAGGAATTGCCACACTGGTTGGTCGAGACTATCTATACCTGGGATATTGATATGCGGCTGATCCCGAGGAAGGTGTTCGGCCATGCGAGTAGAAGGGAAAAGAAGCGGGAACTCGGGTGTGAGGAGTTGGAAGAGATGGTCAAACATAAGTTGCCTGCGGAATAGTGTAAGTGAGGTATACATATCAGTGTGTGTGATTTGAACTAACCATTGAGCGAAGTCCTCTGGAGTAGGGTTTTCGTCCACTTCTCCCTCCTTGATAACCTCCACTCTCGTAAGGAAGAGTGTCAGCAACGCCAGGCCAGGCTACAAGGTGATATCAGGCAAAAAAAATGAGGGACTGTGATTTCACTTACGCGACTCTTGGCAATAGCAACGATATCCTGCCCGTGCATCAGTAGCCCTACCAATCCACACACAAGTCTTAGATTCCCCTTTACAATGATAGGCAAGATGCTTTGCAAAACACTGCTGAGGAAAGCTTGTGTCTGACGCTCGACATCAGCCCGTTCAGGTGTGTCTTCGAGTGTATCAAGGAGCGCGGCATGGGAGATGATGTCTAGTTGCGAGAAACAGGCGATAAGAAGCGTGAGTAGAGTATTCATTCGCTGCTGGTCAAAGTGACGCGTAACGCGGGGAAGAATCTTTTTGCCTTTGGCAGCGCTCAAAAGGGAGATGAAGGGATGTGGTGTACTAAACGATATTGAAAATATCAGTACAACACCAGCCACACGTGTCTAAGAACAAACCTCGTAGCAAGAGGAAGCATCACTTTCAGCTGAATCCACATTTGATCAACAAGTTTGTCAAAATCTTGGCTCCTACAAGGTATTCATGATCCGTGAGTGAAATAGTAGTGTTCGAATAAATAGTTATTACCACTGCTCCAAAACTTCCTCACCATCCTCTGGATGAGGCTGATCTCGTCGTAGTTGTTCTACATTGAGAACGAGATCGTACATGTTTTCCAGGGTCACCAGTATCTCTCGTTGTGTCAAAGGCTCCATGCGCACCAAGGTTTCACCCTGATCTAAAAGTGAGCAAGATATTTGGAGTCGGAAAGAGAACTTACATTATCCAGCGTTTCCCGACCAATTCTAGCAGCGTCCGCCGCTGCTTCACTGGATGACTTAGAGATCGAATCCGCTTTGGATATGTGGGCATGTGGCTGAGCATGTGAGAGGGTCGGGGATGAACTAGGCGCGCTACTAGAATCCACTTGAAGGAGCTGTCTCGGAGCGGCTTTGTAACTCCTTCCAGAAGTCTTTCCCAGAGCACCTTGGAGACTGTGAAGTGCTTTACAAAAGGTGAGATTGAGTATTGGGATTTCAGAGGGAAAAAATCACAATGGAGTCCTTTTTCTTCTTCTCGTTTCCTAGCATTACTAACAATCCTTTCGACTTGCTGTTGCATACGTTGCATGGCATTCGGTCGACGATTACCTCCTTTAGTAGGGGCGCCCAACGCAACTCCGCCGCTAGCACCGAATTTAAGTACTCGTTCATCATCGGCGGACAGACCCATTCGCGAGCGAACGATAGCTCCGTAAACTTGAGCGTAGAAGTCGTCGGCATAAGGGTCTTGAGATACGAGTTGGGATACTTGAATTCGGGTGATAAAGTCCTTATCCGATTGAGTCATCAAGTCATTATATCGTGACTGCAGACAATCTGATTAACTCTTTGCAAGATTGACCAAGGAGGAAACCTACCATGTGGGCAATTTTTGCGGCTTTCCTCCGTCGTTTTTCTTCCATCTTCTCTGCCTCTAAGATCTTGCGCATGGCTTCGACCCGGAGAGCTTCTTGATCAGCTTGTGAAAGACCTTGCATCTCCCTCAAGAACTCGGCTTGCGCCATTTCTGAGAGTAGTCTTTGTTGAAGTTGGATACTCTGTGGAAGATAGGGCAGACTGTCTTCCAGTGGAGCTGGCCGGTGTGGACCCGATCGCGTAGCGGGTGACTGAGATTGTTGCCGAAGCTGTTGGTGCTGCAAAGCTTCCATATCAGCAAGAGTAGGACCGGAGGGTTGTCGATCGGGCGTCACAGAAGAGATATGCTGCGATCGCAGCTGACGTTCCAGCTCTTCAACACGAAGTTGCTCTTGTAGCTGCTGTAATCTCAACAATTGCTGCTGTTCCTGCTGGTGCTGAAGAAGAAGGATCTGCCGTTGTTGATGTTCCATGAAACGGGGAGACTGCGATACGGGAAGCATGCGCGGAGGGGGAGTTCGACGGTGTTGATGCTCTCTTTGCTGGAGAAGTTGCTGCTGTTGTTGGAAACGCTGCAGGTGAAGTTGTTGAGCCTGCTCTTGCTGGTACAAGAGTCGCTGACGTTGAAACTCGCGTTCTTCCTCCTGCCTCAGAAGAAGCTCCTCTTCTTCGCGCTGCTTCTGCTGTTGTTGCTGCAACCGCTGTTGTTCTAGATAGTATTGCTGCTGTCGCTGCTGAAGAAGAGCTTCTTGTCTGGACTGATCTGCAGATACCCGCATCTCGGCTTCAATCTCCTGGAGAGTGCGGATGCCGGATTGCTGGCGATGCTGGCTGGAGATAGCTGGCGATTCTCCGCGGGGCAGTTGGGTACGATTGGAGCCATTGAGCCGTAGAGAAAACGGAGACTTGTCATCCCAGATTGATTCAAGTGTAAGCGGAGTAGCTAAAGCAGGTTAAGAACCAAAGTCTCGATTGATTGAATTAAGGGCGACCGTACATGACTGAGGAGGTCTATCTTCGACTATGGCATTGGCCGATCTTGTGATATTCTTTCTATCTGGCAGCGCTTGATTCGAAAAATCGAAGTCTTTGCCTAATTATGCCCAGTCAATGCGAGCTGGCTCGAATTTTATCATATAGCATACGCTTACCCAGTTCACCAACTGCACCAAAAGTTTCATCGTTGAGGTCGTCGTGGTCTTCTTGAAGAGCGTCGCCTAAGCCATCGTAGTTTTCTTCACCCCAAGTATAGACAGCCAGGTCTTCATCTTGTTCTGAACGTCTATCCTTCCCACGTTCTAAAGTCCTCTCTTCAAAACCAAAAAAAGACATAAGTGCATTAATATGGCAGGTTTCGCGCTGCCAGGCCGACGAAGGACGACGACGGAGGACTTGGTCTAGATCTCAGAGATATATTCGTGGAAGCAAGGCTTTTGGTTTATCGGTGTTTGTCCCGTAAGCGCCTACTCGGCAGGGAAGCGCTCATAGGTGCCAACCTTAATCCTGCCTTAATCAAGTTTTGGGTTGATGCGGACTGGGAAGAGAACTTTGTGTGGCGGGTGGCGAGGATTGGCTCATTATAGCTTAAAGTTTTAAAGGTTGAATGAAAAGAAGAACCGAGTGCGCTCAATCCATACTCCCGGTACATTCCTCACAGCCAGTCTTTTCGCCTTGAACGAGGATTTAGGACAGAGGATAGTCCTTTGGATAATTGAGGAGTTTGAATCGCAATACCTTCCAGAAGGGCAGCACACACATCTAAATGCATTGATATCCCTTTAAGTTTATTCAATGGGCGGCAGACCTGGCTTTATCCGTTCCAAAGGACTATCAACGCCATTACATTTGTGCCTACGTGTAAAAAGTAGTACAGCGCGTGTATATTGGCTGGTGCCAGTGAGACGCGTGGAGAATACCCATGATACATGCTCCCCCCTCTCATAGCCAGGTCCTATTCCAATGTTATATACTTCACGGTGACCATGGTAGTATGCTACGTGGTCTCCTTTACCGTGATACGCAAAGAATCGAATGCTAGAGTAGGGCGATTGGTGTAAGACAGCAGTCTCATTGAAAAAGAGATGGAACTGACAGATAATTCGCAGAAGCCAGGAAAGAGATAATCACCGACAAGCTTCCTAGTACGTGTTAACGAGTACTGCGTGTATTGGTTTGCCTATGTTCGGACATCGCGGTGACCATGGTAGTATGCTACGTGGCCTATCTGTACCGCGTTATAGGCTTTGGGATATAATTATGATTGATCTTCTTGTGTCGGAGCAGAGTCGGACAGTCAACGTATGATTTATGGCATCCTTCGAAGGGGCATTTATACGGTCTGATCTGAGCACTGAGGACATGATATGCCATATTAGTCGGAAATCATCTCTACTTTTGCTAGGAATACATACTGTTTCGAAGCTTTGTGAGAGTGAAGTAGGGCACCCTTCGATAGCAAGCAAGACGTCGGCATCAAGGCAATGAACATACTTGAATAACAAGGCACAATACCTGGGAGAAGGCTTGATCACAGATATCACAACGATAGCGTCTATAAAGAATGAACTCAGATGTTTGTAGAGAAAAAAAGGGGGGGCAAGGGGGGAACGTACTTGATATGCATGTGTGTTGTTTGAACGTGTCGCCTCATCAATTTCGGAGTCGCTCCATAACCGCATTCAATGATTTCTTCCTCGTTGTGTCCGATAGGCCAGAGGCAAGTCAATGGTGCTCGACCGTTCTTATCGTCTGCAGACCGTTTTGTGTAAGTCCTCCAGACATCCATTTGGTCAATTTGGCCCGGTGCTTCGAAGATGTTGGCAACGGTACCAACACCAAGAGATGCATGTGGGTCAAAAACGGGGTTAGGATTAGAATCGATATACTGTGCGTTATCAAGTGGGGGTTCAGAACAAATGGCTGCATTGTTGTCGACAAATAATTCTTTGCGGGTTCGACGGACTACCATATCGGGTTCTGGAATATCGTTCAACCTGAACGATGATGTCAGCTCAAGTGTGAAAAGGAAAAACATCACAAATTACTGAGCCATTGTAGAAGGGGTTTGGTATACGGGAAGAGGATGATACGATGAACTGAACATTATCTTCAGCCTTTCTTCCGTTGACATATAGCACACTCACGAAACATCCTTTGAAAGAAACATGGTGTGGGTGAGATTCATGATCACAGCTTGAATCACTTGGAAGATGAGCGCACGAGCCCCAGATCTTCAAGGAAGGATTGTCCCTGGGCACTCTCTATAAGCGCGAAGATATCTTCAACGAGTAGCAAAAGGAGAAGTGTCATACTACCCACCGAGTTGATATATGAGTTTGCCCAAGGGTTCCCAAAAAGTAAGAGATGCCAATGTGACCTAAAGCAAGGACAAGAGCATAATGGACTCTAGTACCGCGCCAGAAAGCTGGTCAATCACCAGTGGGAACTTCACAAACAGGTTCACTTCAAAAGGCCAACGGAGAGTTGGTTTGACAAGATCAACCCAGACGGTCCTGCACGGTGCCGCACGGGGTCCACGGAAGAGCCTAGATTTAGAACTAAATGCTCAGTTTATTTCTGACCAGGTCCAGGGCAGAATGAGAGAGTCAGTCGTACACATGTACACAGCAATAATTAAACATATGTACCCGATATATTGGCCCCAGTATGGGGCACGATTTTTGTGTAAAGATACGATAGTAATACAAAGTTTCTAGAGATACAACCTTCGAGTATTAGCATAATGTGCCAAACATCCTTGTTAAAAGCGACCGTGCATCTCTCGCGTCCTCATCACTGGCAGCGATTACTCGTCCACGTCCGTCAGTCGTAAATGGAGGCACTGATAGCATATCGTGCCGTTCGTCGTCAGCCTCTGGTGCATCAGGGGCGCCAGCACCGGCTGCTATGTCTGAGGGGATTAGAGTTTCGTACAATGGCTGAGGATCGAATCTTGAAGCAGTTACACCCTGAGGATATGATCCCTCATTTATTCGTTCCAATGGAGGCATCACATTAGTGTTTAAATCGGCCGTAGCATGTATACGGTCAGAGTGGAATTCGTCTTCGTGTTGATGTTCTTCAGAGTGGTGAGTATCGCCCTCGTCCTCTTTTTCGTATCCGTCATTTTCCGATCTAGACACAGACTGAAGAGGAAGTAGATCGTTATTTGATGTAGGAGGACGAGGCGCAGATGAAGATGTAGAGGTGGATGGGATGAGATCGACGATGCCTCCGGCGGCGATTGTTCCTCTTTGTAAATACCTAGGTCTGATAACACCCCGTCTAGGAACGAGGATCGCTCTTGGAAAGCGGCCACGAGGCTCTTGTGCCCGAGGCGAAGGATGAGTTGCAGAGGAAAATGTAAAGGGGGTATTAGACTCATATTCAGAATTGTCGTCAGACCATTCGAGAGAGTCATCATCGCTATCACTAACTTCGTTGAGAGAAGGCATAGAATCGTCTGACTCGGCAGCGTCGCCGATAGTACCTCTAACACGCCTGGACGGCGAAGAAGTCTGCCCTGAAGCTTGACGTGGGTCGTTGATAGGTTCCATAGGTGGCATGTCTCCAGTACGATTTTGGTCACCCTTTTGTGATAACGTTGTAAATGTATGGATTGAGGAGTATGAGATCAGCAGACTTTGACATACCATACTGTCCAAAGTGACCCGAACACCACCAGCGGTGTTAAGATGACTATCCAGTGGCCAACTGACAATCGGCCGAGAACCATCAGAGTTGAGCAGCGTTTCACCATCTTGCAAATCGTCTGGATTCCGGAGCACCATCCCCTGGAAAAGTTCTGCAAAAGCAGTAGAAAAGTGGGTAGCACGGGAGTTTTCGAGGAATCGACCAACAACATCGAAAGGGCTTCGAAGTCTTCCATCGTTGACGCCGGCAAAGATATCATTAAGCATGTCCTCGGTAACATCTATATTACGGCGGTTGCGATACTGAGATGCTCGCTAGGAAAGCGCAAAAGTCAGCGAATCAAGAAGAACGGATGAAAAATTGTTGACCTGCATGGAAACGTCAACGCCGTCGGCGAAAATATAGGGTGTTCCATCGTCGTTCAAATGTTGATAGAAACAGTCTTTGCCAAAGGGACAGAATGGTTTCTTTTTGTCTTTAGCTTTCGTTTGAAGAAAATATCTATTTAGACGTTTCAGAGCATTTTCCTAGACCCAGACCAATGTAAGAAGGGCGCGTACCGACATGGAACCCTAGCCATACTGTCTCTATACGCAGAGATTGTCTGCTGTTTCCTGACATCGTTGTGTTTGTAAAACAGCGATGAAGGAGTAATGAACTTTGATGGGGTACGGCACATAGGACACTTCTTATGAACTCCAGATTGAACGACGTCAAATGATTTGGGTTTCGGATCCCTCCATTCCTTCAAACACTAAGCATCCATTATGGGTCAACGGGCAAAGAAAAGATTGGATAGATGAGCAACTCACTGGTATGCAGAACACATGGCTACACCCGGCTAACAAATATAATAATGATTACAATGTCGAGATCAGTCAAATGGGATGCACAAACCAAGTAGACCATAAAGCGCAGGTTTCTCGAAGCAGATCGAGCAAACTTCGTCAATGGGATCAACTTCGGCCGTTATTTCCTTTGGAGGTACGTGACGAAACCAGCACTTGTCACCATGTTTGCAGAACCCTATCGATATAGGCACATTCAATTATATCGTAAGGTTGCAGAGAAAGCGAAGAGAACGAACCACGGGCGAAATATCTGCATGTCTTGGCTTGGTCGTAAAGGGTGATTTTTGGGGCTGAGTCGTCTACCTTGGGATCTCCGTGTAAGAACTTGCATTGGTTTCCGGCAAAGCAGCCCCGAGAGGTTTGATAGTATTTGCATATTCCACGAGCCTTCGAGGTAGAAGGCCTGTCCATTACTGCATTGAGTTTAGTTCTACAGTATACGGCGCTTAATTGCCAGCAGCTTAGTACAGGCTTAGTAATCCGCGCGCCAAAACTTTGGCCCTGTAAACCCCGCCTTAACTCGACGGTCAGAGACAGAGATGACGCTATATGTAGCGGTAAAGTATTGCTATGTACAGGGAAATAGTATGTTCACAAACCAAGATTTAAGCTTGAAAACAGATTGGTTGGATGGAACGAGAGAGATTGAGAGATCATTAAATAATTCATTTCGAGTAAGTTGCTTCAGCTCTATATCTATAGCTAGCTCTTAGGTTCAACCTCGTTCAACAGGGTTCAACGCAGTCGCAACGCATTCAATAATCCACGACTTCGATTACTGGTTTGCATTTTACACGGACAAACTAATGTAACGAGCTACAGACAGATTTGAACGAGAAAAACGCCCTTCTCAACAAATATCTTTTCTGAGAAGATGCTACATATGCAAGAAGGCCTAGTCATGATCAGTCAGCGATCATTAAGCTCAGTAATCCGTGGCTGACCGTGAGCGCTTTTCCTACTGTTTTGTCGTCTCCCCCCTCCTGCGGTAGACTGTCATCTCTACACAGGCAATTCGTCATAAGTTTTCTCCTCCTCTTCTTCTCCTCCCTCTTTTCGCACTCCTGATTGGGTACCTCCGGTTCCAAGACCGTCCTACCATATATCCATGCCTCTAGCAAGTACCACGTTAGACACCGGAGTAGGAGCATGAGTAGGAGTTCCACTAATGGTGGTTGTTTCTCGGTCCAGCACCTCTGTGGAGAGGAATGTAGGCACTTGCCCAGGAACAACTGTGATGGTCGGCTCTTCCCGCTGAAGAATGGGGGCAGCAAGAACTGAGGAAATCGCTCCGGTGGTGAGAAGCGGAGTGAGTAGGGTGCGGAAGGAAACCATGTTCTTGGCGCTGATGTTTAGATATGAGTTGTTAAATGCTTTCAGTTGACAGCGCGACCTGCACAAAGTTGAAGTCGAAGTGTAAGGAGACCAGCTCTGCGAGGGCCGGGCAATCTGACTGACCACTTTATAGTCTCCCGGCACGGAATCATTCAAATTCAGCGATTATCCCCATGCTTTCGTATCCTTTCAGTTTGGGCCTGGACCAGAGTTGACAGAAATAGTCTATAGAACAGGTAAAAGTTCAATGAATCTATAACAATTGACTACAATATAGTTGCGAAACGTCTTGGAAATGTGCAACCAGACGCAACCGCAGTAAGTAGGAGCAGTGACCATACGCAGACTATAAGTGCTGAAGAGATCTGATTCAGAGCTAACGCAATATAGCAGAATATAGCCCATGGGTATCCTATATAGTATATACTAAAAAGCGACGGGTTAGGCGCTCAAGTAATTTACATAAGCAGCTCTAGGATCCTGCCGCAGAGCGGCGGCGCGGAGCGCCCACAATATTTGCCGCGAAGCGGCACGGTGTAGCCACTTTGTATGTTTTAAGATGAACTCGATGATAACACCGACATTTGTTGTTACTAATAGTGTCATTATCCTCAAAGCATCTGATAGTGTGGTGCGTTGTACATATATGAAATGATGCAGTGTACATCAACTTGGAATGCCTGGATTCAATGTCTGGAGAAAGTCATGCATATCACAACTCTGACAATGCTCATGCCAATAATTTTTGGTATCCTATTGAGCATCTCAACAGTATCAATGGCTCTGGACTTCCCTGTTTGAAATTGAAAATGATACTCAGGAATCTGGATCCAACTGCCAGCATCTGCAATAACACTTGGGCATTAATTCAAAGCAATAAACTAATAATAAGTGTGGAGGAGAAAAGCAAGGACTAATGGGGCTTTGGGGGCTTGACATCTGCAAAACCTGTATTTTTGGCTAAGGGTCTGAAAGCAGTTGAGAGCACTTCCCAGTAGTAAAAGCACTGGGATCTGCTGGGATTTGCTCTCAGTGCTTAGCCAAATATCCAGGTTTTGCAGATGGACCCCAACAAGCTGTGAACCCAGCTGTAGTAGCTTGCAGCACATCTGCAAAACCTGGATTTTCGCTTAATTTTTTACCAGTGTTTTCCAGCATTCGAGAGCACTTAATCAAAAGTAGAGCAGCTGTCAGATTCTTTGGCTGTTGTAGCTGCTTTTAGCAGCTCTCGCAACTTGCGTAAAGACCGAGCTAAAGAAGAGATGATCCGAAAGACTATCACTAAGTAGTTGTGAACTTGAATAACATTTCAAATTTGAATATCCCCCTTTTTAAAAAGTGGCGGTGGTCACGGTAAGTACATAGTTCGTATGCCTAAGAGCAGATTCATCAACAGTAAGGTGGTAGTGCAAACAAGAAGAAAGAGAGAATAAATACTACTTGGCAGTATTAGTAGGGCAAGGATCTACTTTATCTAGGGCGAAAAATATCTCCTTATTAAAATATTTGTTCAATAAAAACTCCTCGCTACAATACTGGCTCGTAGTCTGGGTCAAAGAAGTATGTGGATGCCCTTTGTAGCGAGGACAAATATCTGCAAAAGATCTAAACTGAGAAATAGGAATGATATCACCCAAAGGAGTTGTATCAGTTCTTCGAGCGCGTTTTAGAATAAAGCATCCAGAAGAATAGGCAGGAAAGTAAGGGGGCCAAGCGCTGTATCCAGGAAGATGTTGGTACTGAGGAGGGGGCGGTGGTTGGTTGACTACATCTAAACATTCGCAGTAGGCTAAGAACTGATGAGTTCCTTCTATTGCCGGAGAAGGACTTCTTGGTTGTGCAACTGTGAAAACAATTTTCACCAGGACAACAGCATGCCCTGAAAACATATATCAGTTATCAGAAGACTTATGACTCAGTATACTACATGCCTTCCAAGGAGCTTCTGGGCCAATGAAATTTGGGATCGATATTGATGATAGCCGCATTTGAACGTCCAAACTCCCAAGAAGGTCCCAGAGGAGCTGCAAATATAGTATGAGGATCTGCAAGAAGATCCCAATTGAAATAAGTCTTTGACTGGATACAGATTCTAGACCAAAGTTTTACTTTGGTAAAGGGTATGATCGATTGTGAGTTTCCATTTTTTCTACCTCCTACAACAAATGTTTGTATACCAGCCTTGAACCGGTCTATGAAATCAGAAATGGCTCCTTGGAAATCTTGAATCAAATAAAGCTGACTAGTGTCTTCAATAGACATAGTTTTCAGGTCTAGATCTCGAACCAGACTGAAGGCTGCAATATTTCCGGAGATTTCGTCAGTGAAGACGCGATGAGGAAGAGGAGCAGAAAGTATCTGCCTCAACAAACGGGCTTTGAGAAAAAAGTTCTGTTTAGGATGGAAAGACCCAAAAAGCTTGTGAGATACGGGGTTGAGTTGAGTCACCAGCTCCTCGGTTGTCGATATGTAGGTGATTTCCTCTTCATTTCCTCCTTCCTGAATGTGTTCGCCATCACCGCCTTCATCCCCTTCGACATCACCTAGGTGAAAATCAACCTGGGCATCTTTCATGGCAGTCATAAGATTGAACCGTCTCACACGGGCTTGACGATCTAAGCTCCTACAAATAAAGACTTCCATGTCATGATTGTTGCCAGAGCGAGCGGGATCTTTTACAAGATAGATATGCGCATGTTCGGTGACATCTGCTGTCCACTGCATTACAGGACCTGATGCACAGATACTAGGCTCCACGCTTTGTAGGAACTCTAACTTAGGGATTTCCCAGTTATCAATAAATACTCCTTTTGGATTGACTCGGGCTTTCAAGCTCAGAATTTCTGACTTGTTTGCGTGAAATTCTTCTAGAGCCTTCTGTACTCGAAGAGATGAGGTTTTACTGAATCGAGGGGCTTGGCCAGCATAACGAAAGTCGGTGAGAGATCTGAGAGCAGCGACAAATTTGGATGATACAGCTCCAGATATGAGAGGGATTAAGTATCATTGTATGTCTCTTTGCGTTCTTCCTGTCACCTGTTTGAGTGCAGAAATACCCTCTTTGAAGTGGCGATATCCTACAGCCGACTGATGTATCGAGAATAAGAAGTCAATTTGGATGCCTCCGACTGCCTGAATGGCCCACTTGGCGTCATGATCCCAAAACATCTTATGCCAGTGGTGTAGGGGTTCGGGAGTGAGAAATTCGCAGGGTTCAGCTAACGCCCAATCTCTCCAGAAAGGATGGACTACCCCATTGGTGCGAACTGCTACCGAGGCTCTTTGATAGGCAGGGAGATCCTGAGGGAAGATGTTTCTAGCTTGTATACTATCTATGGTATCCAGAGTGGCAGAGGAGAGGCGAGGAGGATGGCAAAAAGAATCTCCGTAATCCTTGTACATTGCCAGGGTAAATGGAGATGTTTTCGCTGACCCACCCACACAGGCTATCAAAGTAGCTTCTGGTGTATCCACTACAGCACTAGCAAGTGGGGTAAAGCAAACCCTAAGCTGTCCTAAAGGATCGCTCATCATGCAGCCAATGCAAGCAGCAGTTTTGAGAGGTTCAAGAACAATATCAAGACATCCGTGGTAGAGTCGATTTTCCAACACTCCACGTATGAGAGAACGCTGCTCAACATAATTTGGTATAGGAAGAAGAGCAAGCAGATTGAATAGATGTAACGACGCTTTGGACAATAGATCCGAGTCTATATTGGCCAATGATATGAACTGAGGATGAGCTACCCAATTTCCCGTAATAACTGAGATATTTGTCTTGTTGGAAGATAAAATAGTACTTAACAAAGTAGCACCTTCAGGGAGTTGCATCTACATTTTGGATAAGTACACAGTTAGATGTTAAGCATCTTACTCACCTGCATATCCCAAGCTCTTGTTCCAGACAGCCAAGAGTCGTAGATACGCATAGCCTTTTCAGATGTGGCGAATATTTGCAAAGGAGTAAAACTCAGAGAGTCTTTGATCAAAGGACTCTTTAACAGATCTTGAAGGACTTCGAGAGCATCTCTATGGTACAAGACCAAGGGGCTCTTTGAAGGATAGAGAGGAAGGGTGTCGATCTTTCGGAATTTCCAGCGAGGAACAGGGGGGAGCATATCCACTAGGTCATTTAACCTTTGAGCAGAATTGAAAGACAAGTTATTCTTCTTGGTCTGGATGAATTTATATAAGTAGGAGCAACTAATTCCGAAGACACGCTCACTAAATCAAGTTTAAGATAAGTATCTATCTCATTCATTGAAAGTGAAGAATTGAGCAAGAAACTAGCTGTCTCCCACTCAGGCCTAGAAGCAAAAGGGTAGTATACATTCAATTCCCGTTCCTTGGAAAACTGATTGTCATTGAAATCATCCATAAAGGTAACCCCCTGACCGATAACTTTTTCAGCATTGGGGTATTCAATTGTGAGTGAATCTGCCTCGCTAGAGTCCACGTCCATTTGATCGTCCTCCTGATAGTTGCTATAATCATCATGGTGACTACCAATATTGCCATCGTCACTACCAGAGTGTTCAGAACTGGGAGGAGAAGGCGGGGCAGAGGGCTGAGCAAAGTAGGATAGCGGCACCAAGCCAGGAGTGTAGTTGCATAGAGTTTGTTTGACATGACTGCGACGGCCTGCTTCTGTTCTACAAAGTTGACCGCAATATAAACAGGGGAAAGACATTGAAGAGTGTCTAAAGTTCCTGAAAATAGCGTGTAATTATAATTCTCAGAACTTGTGACTTTCAAACATGTGACTTCTCAATCTTAGCGCGTTCCTAATCTGGAGCTACTCCCGATTAGCCAGTTCAAGACTTTGCGCCTTTCCTAATAATTGTCCAAATGGCTGCCAACACCAGCGTGGACATCACTACTTACATAGCCTCAACAGCTGAGCTCAAATAATGCACTGCCCGCATTTCCGATCCAAGTATAGGTGGGTACTTGTTAGCCAATGGTCATCATGACCCCCATTGTAACTCCCGTTTGCAGATCTTACTACAAAAAATACCGTTACTTGCGAAACTCATGACTTTCTCAACACTACTAGGCATACAGACATTCTATGAGTCCTCCTTGGCTTATTCCTACTCTTCTTGACCGCACCGGAGAGCCTGCCTTCACAAGGATGTTCCTGAATACAAGTTCCGCAAAACTTGTTGGAAATTCTAATCCGTACACCTGTTGGGGAGCCTACATGTTCTCAGTCTGCTTCCATTATCGAATGCATTCATTATCTCCACCGGACTGACAACGAAGACAATGTTATACTGGCCTGCAAGGGGAAAATATGGCGAACTTCACTACCATATTTCAAGAATCTCATCATTGAACGGAGGCTGTTGCAAGCAATTATCTTGCTGAAGATCCGATTGGGGAAGCCTGGGGGATGGAACCAGAACCTCTTGACAAAAGAGCCTACCTTAGAGTATAAACATCATTCAGATGATCCTCAAATGACCATGACATTCCTCGGTGTTCAGCAACAAATTCTGATAAGTCCCGGAGTGGTTCTGGCTTGTCAGAATGTTACAAAAGGGCCTGTGGCTGCGGCAGCTCTGTCAAGTCCATGCCGCGGGCCTCCATTCCGCCGCTCGGTATTCCGAAGATCTGCTCTTTATTGTAATCTCACTCTTATTGTTCTTTCTTGCTACACATACCCTTTCGTTCTAGTCCCTCCTTATTGTCTTTTACTTTACCCTGCAGGTACTACTCGTATAGCTCCTAGTAGTTAGTCTGGCGCTCCGCTCCGCTGCGCCGTTCCGTAGATATAAATACTGCCTGTACGCTACTGTAGTTCCTCAGTTTAATTATCGACTTAGATTCCCTCCTTAACTCTGTGCTCCTCTAAGTCTTCAGGCTCTCCGCCTTGAAGTACTCTCTACGATAACCTTAGAACTTAGACGTTCTCTGGTTCGCTCCTCGTCACCGGCGATACCACCGCTCCGACTTGGCTGCTACTCAGTTCCTCCCTTCTCTACTCTCGATCTCCGGGGACTAACGGCGTAACGGCGGTGTTGTTAATAACTTCACTACTGTCCCACTCGTCTTCCGCACTTAGACACCTTGTGGCTTTGGCACGGTTACACGGTGTACATGATCTTAACAAGCTCCTGCTTATGAACTCATGGAGGCCGCGTTGTTCTCTCTCGTGCGCCAGGTGAGTATCACCACAGTGAATCCTACTTCTAAGTCTCATCCAAAATGCAGGGTATCAAAGGCCGTAATGCAGAAGAACTTCTCATAAGCACCCTCGAAGGTGCTTTTGATGCCGTTCATATCACTGAAGTTCAGGAAAGACTAAGTCCTTTATTCGCAAGCTGTGTTTGATGCGGAGCTCAAAAGGGGGCCTTTCAGAAAAGCTTCTTCGTATCGATCTTTGCCCTTGCTGTCGTCCTACCTCGAAGCACTTCCTTACATCTTGGCTCGTATTTCCATTGTACAGGACCTAGTTGCACACACGAACAAGTGGGTATGCGACTGGGAAATTGACCTTGTTCGTACTTTGCTTCACATCTCGAAGAACTTCCCCGCGGACTTGCCTCAGGACATGGACAAAATCATTGGAGTCCTTACAGAGCTCCTTTGAATTGGAAGTTCAGACATTGATCACTACTCTGATACTGGGCTCCAGGTACAGACTCGAAGCAAGCTCATTGCTTTGGTCAGTGTGTTTTTCATGCAGAAGGTAGCTCCAAAATAGGAAGGCGCTAAAATTTTCAAACTCCCTTTTCAGTACATTTGGAATCAACTTATTACTCTAGGTTCCTGTCTATATCATTGAATCTATCTCTTGCTATGAGATAAGTTACAAGAAGTGGCTGATCAGAGTACAATCGCCCAACTGTATGCTCTATGTAGTGCTTTTTGTATTTTAGACGTGTGAAGAGTAAATTCAGTGTGAGAACGAATGAGGTTTATTTGGAGCTGTTTGTTATCTTTCATCTGTCCCTTCGCTGTCGCTTTCACTTCACTTAGAAGAAGCCAAAAATTGTGTTCAAAAGCTATGGATATTGCAGGTATTGTTACTGTTTACATTGCTAGAATGACCTTGCCTTATGCACTACTTATCTTAGAAGATCTCTCTTCTATAACACCTTATCATTCCTGGATAGATAGCGACCAAGAAAGTCATGAAACCTTGGTAAAGCTACTACCTTGCGTTTTATATTTATCTCATTATTTCAGACTAAGATTGAAGCTAGTTATCTGCTTAGAATAGCTGAAGCACAAAAGACTCTTTTTACTACGGAGAAATCTGTTCTGGAACATAAAATCCTGGTCACCAAACTTATTTTGGAGCTTCACCTTCACAGAGTCAAGAAGATTCATTCGGAGGATTCTAAAGCTTCTCAAACTATTGTAAAAATGAAACATATTTTGGAAGATATCGAGAATAAAGGTGAGTCAACATGTTTTCTATTGTTATAGTACCTTTGTATAATTATTCTTTCTAGATCTTTCTCTTCCTTCTATGGAGCCAGATAACGACATTTCAGAGGATTTTGAGGAAGATTTAGATGAGCTCGACACAGATGAAGAAAGGCCTGAGCCAGAGCCAGAATCTAATGACTTCGACAAGGACACCCATACCAAGATTACTTACTATGAGGATGGCAGTAAGTAATATTGGCTTTTTGGTTATCGACTCTTATAAGCATTTTAGAAGTTAGGATATTCAACTACAGGGGAGCAACGGGAGGTCTCATCTTGGATTGAAGGGAATTGGCAAGCGGTTGAACTTAGCAATATTCCTTGTAAAGTACTAAAATTGCACATTCTGCTATGTTGTACTACTAAAGAGTAGGTCGATTGTAAGCCCGCATACTTTAAATATAATTCAGATTCATTACAAGGGAACTAGTCGAGGGGGCAGCAGAATGGCGAAAGGTGGAGGCTGAAATCCTCGAGGCGGTATAAATTTGGAGCTGTGGGTCCCAGTGTACCTTTCCTCTTCTCGATTTGCCTCTTCTTTTCCCTCGTCTTTTTTGAACTTTTGAACCATGAAGAAATGGCCTGACGATTCAACAGAGGAACCTATACCTAGTAAGTGTTATCTATATATCTATCGGATTTTGAGATATTCATCTTATTAGCAGTACGGTTCTGGTTCATTTTTGTTTCTCCAAGTCTCTTATGTATTCAGAGGACAAGCAAACGGACAAATAAGGGGACAGGTGGACATGCTACGCAAATGTTACAAGCAGCAGATAAAATTTCGCTAGCCCAAACAAGTTCTACCCGATTGCCCAACGCAATATTTCCTGAAGATGCTTCACCTAATCCTATGGCTCCCCCTGCTTCAAAATCAGTAAGAATTACCGTCAACTTTTTGCTTACTTTTCTAAAATACTTTACCAGAAAAAACCACGGACAAAGGCCAGTAAGAAGAAAGAAGTGCCGGCAGTCTCTGCCTCTCCGATGTCTGGCTATCCTGCTCCTCCTATTCAAACTGCTCGAAGAGTCCCCAAGCCTTCTATTGCTTCTATTCAAGAGGTGGTCCTTAGAGATGAACCGGACGCTGTGAGATTCAATTTGATTTCTTTTTGAATTTAGACTAACTCTTAGTCAGGATAGAGTCACATTTTTTAAAGGTGTGTCTTTTGTCGATATAATGGTACTATTCCTTCTGAGTATTAACAGGATGGACCCCTCAAGAATTGAATCACTTCAACCCTCAAGAGTCAAACCGCTTGTCGCTATCTCAAGAAAGTTTGGCACCTTCTCAGGAGTCAAACCATCTTATGCCTCCCCGAGAGTCGAACCACTTAGCCTCTCTCCAAGGAGGATTAGCTGCTCCACTAACTTATCCAGCGCATGGATTGCCTGTACCTCCTCAAGAGTCGAACTGCTTGACACCTCTCCGAGGAGGATTAGCTTCTTCGCTGCCTTACTCAGTACATGGATCGGAAGGCTTTGAAAGAGGAAATTTTGACAGAGAAGGATACAGAGGGGGCTTTACTCCTTCAACTATTAACTCGGGAACAGGTGATAATATGGGCTATGGAGGACATAGCGAGCGAAGTTATGGGGGAGGTAAAGGTGATGACTTTGAGGGCAGAGGTGCTTATGGTGGGAATAGAGCTGACACTTATGGGGATTATCACTATGATGAGAGTACAAGGGTTGGAGGTAATTATCAACGCGATAGAGATATCAGAGGTGGCGAAGGTAATACAGGATATCAGGACTATCACCAGGACAGTGATATGAGATATAGCGAATATCGCCAAGAACAAGATAGGTATATGTAGCTGGAATGGGTTTACGTACGATGGAAACGCAGGAGCTACATGGGATCGAGGAATGGAAAATGGTAATATGGCCAGTATGGGAAGTGGGAAATTGGAAGGTCATCGGCGGTATCAATCTTCCTTAATCCATGGAAAAATTGAAGGTCCACCACAATATGCTCGAGTAGTCCCACAGGAACAAGAGCGTATAGCTCAATCTCAAGGTATTTAGCTGGTCATTTTTATATTATATATACTAATTTGTTGTACAGATAGTCTTGCAGAGCGTAAAATGGTAGATACTATTTTATACAAATATAACTTACCTCTCATCTTTGAAACAGCAGCAAGAGTATGATCAAGATTTGTTGCCTACTCGAAAGCATGCTCCAAAGCCTCCTGATTCTGAAGCGTTGAAAGTGCATGCAAGAAGCTAAAAAACTCCGTCAGATGATGAAATGGAGGAGGCAGAACGTGCTGAGTTTGAGCATGACCCAGAAGCAAATGAAGATGAAGAAGATGATTCACCCAACTATACCAAAGATCTCCCTATTACTTCACGCCAATGTAAAATTCATTTTTGAACTGCCACTCTATTGCTAATTTTAATTTAGGTTATGCCTCTGTCGTACCTGCTGCGGGGTGGAACTCTCAAAAAGGCCCTTTGAATATTTCAACGGGTCCCAGTAGATCAGTTTCACAATCGTCGCAATTGTTTTCGCAATCAGTCTCGCAATCATCAGCCCAATCGCACCTACAATCAGCCTCGCAGTCGCACCTACAATCAGCTTTGCAGTCATACCCAGTCTCACGCTCAGCTTCACATCCAATATCTCTGCTGCCTACGCGACCAGCATCACCAGACCTTGTAGGAAATTTCTCAACAAACATCTCTTCTGAGACTCCAGGTACGTTGATGTAAATTTGTTAACTAGTCTTCAACTGGCTTATATCTTTTTAAACGAAGCTGATCTGTCTTCAAATGCAAAAGGTGAATCGACTTTCTGAATTGAAAATTTGCTAATGTTTTTTCAAAGGATCACGCAATAAAGGGAAAAAGCCAGCTTCGACAGATCCTACAAAGCTTTCCTTCTATCCGGCGCAAGTTAGAAAAGTTATTAGTGTCGCTCAATCCAACATGCATAGAGCCATGGTTCTTGAGGCTCCATTTTTGACTATGGAAAATCATGAAAAACTTATCTCGGATTGTTTGGAATCAGCTATCAAAGATCGGGGAGACAAAGGCCTTCTGGTGGAAGATGGTGAATACTTTAAAGACTTGACTCGCTCTTCCTCAACTTTTTAATGTCGGTTCAGGATATATTGAAGAACATTGGGCAGATATTATCACTTTTGTGAGTTTTCCCAAAAAATTTGCCGCCCATACTTATACACAACACTCTAGCTATATAAAAGTCAATCAAGTTATAGGAATACTCTCAGAAGAATGGCCGAACCCATGGTTATCAGCCACTATTCTCTTCCTTTACCTGCGTCAAGGGAACCAATCTCAGGATTCAATGCCGATCAGCTAAATGAGCTTACAACGGAGTATATCAAAGAACTTCTAACAACAAGTGCTTTTTTGCAATACGGAAGAGACGTAAATGTAATGTCCTTTATCTCCTTACAAGATAAGAAGTTAGTAATTCTGCTTTTTTAGAATTGAGTCAATAACTTTTCGCATCCCTGTCTCAAAGAAGTTGTGAAAGTCTTGTTCTATACCAGTAACAAAGCATTGGCGAAGACTTTTCCGAATGATTTCAAAGCTGAAGTACCTCATGGAGCATTAGTTTTAGCTGCGATGCTTGTTGAGTGACCCACAAATTTTACTTTTTCATTAACTGATTATATGTTTCAGATCAGATACTGTCTTTCTAAATACGAGGATGGGGCTATTCCCAAAAAGCTTGAATTTACTACCTCCGCCAACGTTGCCTATCACAAATTGTACTCCGATATAATTACGGATATTTTAGGGGAGCCTTATCACTCTTCTAAATTCAAACAGAATTTGCATTCTTGGGCATTAAGTTTCAGGTGAGTAATTCTCCCATTCATCTCTTCTACCTAACTAAGGTGTGTATAGCATGGAGGCGAACTTGGACAAAGGGAAGGGGGTGGCACATACCTCACATATCGATATTTCCTGATTCGCTAGGTTCTTAGAAGCTTTTATCATTGTTCTGACTCACAGCTTATTTGAACCTTCGCTTCTACATCTAGCTCTTCGTAGACTCTTTCTTATCTGCATCACTCGTGGAACTACTTCACCGCTCTGAACAGGCCTTCTGTTAAGATCATGTACACCGTGTAACCGTGCCAAAGCCACAAGGTATCTAAGTGCGGAAGACGAGTGGGACAGTAGTGAAGTTATTAACAACACCGCCGTTACGCCGTTAGTCCCTGGAGATCGAGAGTAGAGAAGGGATGAACTGAGGAGCAGCCAAGTCGGAGCGGCGGTATCGCCGGTGACGAGGAGCGAACCAGAGGACGTCTAAGTCCTAAGGTTATAGTAGAGAGTACTCCAAGGCGTAGAGCCTGAAGACTTAGAGAAGAGCTAAGTTGGAAGGGAGATCTAAGTTGATCTAAGTCGATAATTAAACTGAGGAACTACAGTAGCGTACAGGCAGTATTTATATCTACGGAGCGGCGCAGCGGTGCGGAGCGCCAGACTAACTACTAGGAGCTATACGAGTAGTACCTGCAGGGTAGAGTAAAAGACAATAAGGAGAGACTAGAACGAAAGGGTATGTGTAGCGAGAAAGAACAATAAGAGTAAGATTACAATAAGAGTGGATCTTCGGAGTACCGAGCGGCGGAATGGAGGACCGAGGCATGGACTTGACACCTTCACCAAAAGGATTTTTCAGGTTTTGACCTGTCTCGGACATGCGTTTGGAACTGTATATACAGCGTCATTATATCTGTGTCATATGTTCTGATCAGCTGCTATAACAGGGTAGAAAAGGTGGAGGACAGGAAATCGGAAAAGCAGGAAAGCGGTAAAGCGGGAAAGCGGAAATTCGGGAATGCAGCAAAGTGGGGACGGATGTTCATACTAATATGGTCCCTTACTAATCAATATCAAATTTGCCAAATATCATACAAACAATATTGAAGGATCAAATAAACCGCCAGAGAGGTGGACAGTTTGATGGCTTTCTGCAACATTCTTTGACGAATCAAACAGTACCTTAGAGCTTTTTCCAGTGCTGTCCAGTCAGTACCCTTGCTCTCACTGCTTTTGGTGCTGTTGATGCTGTGGAATGCTCCTCCAAGCCCTGGAGCTTCATCCAGGTTTTGCAGATGCAAGTAACTAACTCTATCTATTTTACCTGAATCTAACTTACTCTCAACAAAGCAAATCACAAAAATGCCTGCACCAAACGAATTCTTCTGTAATTGTGCTCGATACTGTAAAGCACGTATCAAAGTCAGCAGGACCACCTACTACGCACATGCAAAATTTTGGCTACTGCAACCACCACCACAAGGTGATGAAGATGACGAGCAAAGGTCCCGGCGTCGTCAACATCGGTTGGATGACTCTAATCAAGTGCGTTAAACTTGACGATTTTGTTTAGGATATATCTAATGTAATTGTAGGGTCCAGTCAGATTGCAAATAGGGGAGAATCAGCAGGCTCAGACACCAATAGATGAAGAGGAAAACCAGGTAAGGATGCAATAATGCTTTGTCATTGTATCTATTCTCATTGAGAACAACATAGAATAAAGACTTTCCTCCTCCAGATCCTCCACTGCCTCCACTGCCACCGCCGCCGCCACCACCCCCAGTATTGGACAAACTTCCACCATTGGCTCTAAATCCTTGGAATACAGATATTCAAATCGCTCAGCTTTACATCAATGCTCTTCGATCTATTGAACTTGATCAGAGTGGATTATCGGAAGCTGCACTGGAGACTCTCACTCACCCCCCGGAGCATTCAATTGAATTCGGGGACTCAGATGAAGAGAAAGACATCCTATTTTCTCTCGACCTGTTTATAGGTCTTGTGCGTGCTTCTGAAAAAGAATATACATCATCTCGAGCTGCTATACAACGTTGATATCCCTCCTCATCTCTCTTATCTTATGCACAAGTTAAATCACAAATTGCATCTCTCACCGGTATTCATCCTATTACTCATGACATGTGCCCAAATACATGTATGGCTTACACTGGACCATTTGCAGACCACGAGTCTTGCCCTCGATGTGATACCTCGCGATATGATCTGCTTACAAACCGCCCTTGCCAACAGTTTTACACCTTACCACATGGGCCTTACATTCAGACGCTCTATTGTGACTCCAAAACTGTGCAATTACTTGGACACTTTGGGGAACAGCTTCAATTACTACTAGAGCAGGTCCGGCGAGGAGAGCCTATCGAAGAGTACGATAATATTTGTTGTGGGAAGGATATACTAGAGGCACTATCAAGTGAGAAGATCTCTTCGAATGATGTGTTTCTTATGGTTTCAATGGACGAGGCCCAGCTGTATCGGATGAAGGCTTCAGACTGCTGGATGTATATTTGGATACTTGTTGGATTTTCACCAAATAGACGTTATAAGAAGAAGTATGTTGTACCCGGGGGCGTGATACCAGGTCCAGATGCTCCAAAAATCACTCAATCATTTTTATTTCCCAGCCTAGCACATATCGCCGCAGTGAACAAATCTGGCAGTCTGCGCATATGGAACGCCTACTCAAATATCATCAGATCCTCAAAACTGTTCATTCTTTTGGCTACTGCAGACAGTCTTGGTCTTGTTCACTTCAGTGGAGGTGTTGGTCACACAGGAAAGAATGGCTGTCGGGTATGGTGTGGTCAGCCGGGACGCCACAAGGATGGCAAAGCCATGTATTACCCTGTAATGTTCAAGCCTGATGCCTACATCATGCCTGGTTGTGACTTTAATGACCTCGCACCTGACAACGTGTATGCGATGGATCCTCAGTGATATCAGGATGACTTACAGGTTGTAATGGCTTCACGTACTGCTGCAAATTATTCCGAGAATCGACGCGAAACTGGCATCAAAATACCAAGCATCTTCCTTGGTCTACATCCAAATACCTATCTCGGACTTTCGAACATGTTTCCAGGTGACATTATGCATCTCATCCTGAACCTTGCCGATATCCTTATCCCTCTATGGCGTGGATCAGTTTCCTGTGATCGAGGTGATGATATTTCCACCTGGGTTTGGGCGGTGCTGAAGGACAAAGACACATGGGAAAAAGGCGCTGATGTTGCGAACTGTACTCCATATCTACCCGGTTCGTTTGACCGTCCTCCACGTAACCCCGCCGAGAAGATCAACAGTGGTTACAAGGCCTGGGAGTTTCTCCTCTACCTATTTGGTCTGGGTCCTGGACTATTGTACAACATACTCCCTCTCGAGTATTGGAAGTCCTACTGCAAGCTTTGCGCCAGTATCCGCTATATGTATCAATACAAGATTACACGCGACCAACTCAAAACCATGCACATTCTCCTTATTCAATTTGGTGTCGAGTACGAGCGATTATATGTACAGCGTAAAATTTCTTGAATTCACTTTGTCCGGCAAAGCATCCACTTCCTACGTCATGCAGCTCCTGAGGTTGAGCGAGTCGGTCCCGGGATAGCATATTCCCAGTGGAATATGGAACAGTCAATTGGTAATCTTACTGAAGAAATTGGTCAAGACTCTAATCCTTACAAGAATTTATCTGAGCGATGTCTTCGTCGATCTCAAACCAACTCACTCAAAGCTGCTGTTCCCGCTCTAGACAGTGATCATGACTTAGAAAGAAAGACACCGCGGGGAGGACTTGACCTTGGGAACAATTTCATCCTTCTTTGCAAAAAGGACCGAAGCCCTCGTGAACTGGAAGTGCATGAAATGACCGCACTTCAGGCATATGTTCATGACAGTGTTCCTGCTCACCTAATTCCCAATGATTGGAAGGTATCTAAGGTACAGCGATAGGCTCGACTGCGCCTTCCTACAGGACAGATAGCGTGTTCTATGTGGAGAGAATCCTTAAAGGATCAAAAGAAAATAAGGCGGGCACGAGATGTTAAGGTGGGTACTGTGATTATGTGGTTATGTATTCGTTCATTATGTTACTGACTTTACTATCATGTAGCTTAATTGCAATGGCAAACTTGAGTTTGCGGAAGTCCATTTCTTCTTCCATCTGGCTATCACCGAAAATGACACACGTACACTGGCAATGGTTACACTTTATACCAAACCTAATCCTTTACTTCTACATTTGTCTTCTAGTGCGCTATGGTCATGCAAACATGGCGATGTTGATGCCACAAGGGTAGTAAATGTCACGGAAATTGAGGCAGTAATAGCAATGGTCCTGCATTCAACGGAGTTTTTGGGAGAGGATTGGAAAGACTGTGTATTTGTTGTTGAGAAACCAGGTTTAGATGTTGCAAGGATGAGTGGATTTGTCGAGGACAAAGATCCAGAGGATAATGAGGGTGAGGATGAGTGATATAAACTCAAATAAAGATAGACCACATTGGAATATTATCTCAGTTACATATTTGACCAAGAATATCACTTAATCGTTTCCCTTCTGCCACCATGTCTCTCTCCCCAATTCTGCCAAGGACACCTTTATACTCTCTACCTACCTCTAATAATACCTTTCCTGGTTCAATTGAAGGCAGTTTACTTAATTTTTCTCATTTCGACTCACAAGGGGAAGAGAAATATGTCCTCAGGGTAAGTCTTGGGGTAGTCGCTCTCATTGTTGCCTTCAATGATCAGTTGATAGTCACCTCTACAAACAAGACATCCACCTGTATCTCAAGTTCCTCAAGATGATCTTCAAATACAAGTAGAGCATGGAAAGCTTGAACAACGGTTCAATAATGCTATTGTTGAGCTCAAAATCACCCAGTACGTCTCTATAATTTCACAAGGCGCATCTTATACTACTCTTAGGAATAATTATGAGCAACTTCTCCAGACAATCAAAGAGGCACCTGCGCATACACCCAATCCAACAACCGCTTTACTCCGCATTCCAATGTTTTCACGCTGTGATTATCCATGTGTCACGATCTGGACCAAGGATGACTTCATGAAGGCTAAAAACCTACGCTCTTCCAGAGGGGTACTGCTTAAGATTGACAACTCATCAACTGGCCTATGGTGGCTTCAGGATGCAAACGGAAACTCTTTGGATACACATACCATATCACATGTTCGGGAGATGTTGAAATGTGTATGGGAAAGACTCAAGGTACAGGGAAGGGCTCCACCAAAATTTCTCGATGCTGACATCGACATGATCAATGAATTCAACCATTATATGATCAACATGTTCAACTTTCTTGGGTTTTGTGACAATAATTGGAAAACACGGCAAATATTCATAATCGACTATCCTTCCTGGTACTCTAAGCATGTCAAGAACTCAAGGGGACCGCGGGAAACACCGGAAAATTTGCACTCTACAAAGCGGATGCACTCAAACAATGACCCAGACACTAAAGTGAAGCGGAGGCGAGAAGAATATATACCATGTGCGTGAATATCTTTTTTGCTCAGTCCGTATTTTATTTGTCTTCTAGCATCATCAAGTCTTTCCTCTGACCTTGCAACAAGCACTTCGTCACTTTTGGCCATTTCATCTCCACTTCCAGCAAGCTCTACTACACCAGACTCTATATCTATTGCACTGGACCTCGATCTGTCCATTCTTTCGTCCTCGCTCACCGCTCCAGAGGTAGATCTGTCAATGGATCCGCCTTTGCTTATGACAACCCAAGCCTCTCAAGATCTGCCAGTCGCAACAACCCCGGTCGTGAATCCAGCATCACTGGTAGGCATCTAACAACTCATGAATATCATTACTAATGTGTTCTGTCCCACAGAACATTCCATCTGTTTTGTATATTTTTCTCATTCATATTTCAGATAACATATTAACATTGCTGCATGCATAGGACCGGGGTTTTCGATAGCTCGAAACTAGCAGCTTCAATTGTTCCTTTACCATCTGACCCTACTGCTGTTGCCCCGCCAAAGAAAGAGAAATCAAAAGGTGTCCGGAGTATTCACCTTGGGAGTAAGATTGACGCTCAGTAAGTCGTTAGTGTCTGGTTTACTTTAATCTGAAACCGCTTTTAGCAACATAGCCAAGAAGGAATGGGCAGCAGCAGTACAGGCTGAAGGCAAGAAACCTGTTCAAGACGATTGGGTAAAGTTCTGGCATGCATTATCTGAAGGAAAGAAACTAGTGCGTTATCTGTTTAACTGTGATTGGGTTATCGTCAATTCATGATATAAATATAGGAATATAAGGAGAAAGCCCGGGTGAGTATTCGCTGCCGTCTTGTTGATCGGTATACTAAAATTGCTGGTTCAGATTCTCCTTGCAGAAGAAGCCTCCGCTACCGCAAGCAGTGCTTCATCGACATCCGTGAGTAATTCATTGTGTCGTGTTCAAATTGTTCTAATCATTTGTTGATATAGTAATTGCTGATGCAGAGAACGGTACATATCTACAGCGTTACGAGAATTCCCTGTATCCATTGCAATAAGCCTACATAGGACTAGATCATAATGTGTATGTAAATGAGCAGAAACAAGCAGAAACAAGCAGAAACAGAAGGAATAATAAGCTAGAAAAAGTGGCCAGCCATCTAGCAAAAACGGCAGAGACCAGTTGTGCTCATCTTGGCTCATTTCTGCTCAAAACCAGTCCGGATTTTCGAGCGGCATCTAGAAAGTCACGCAGAGCTGTCAAAAGTCGTTTTCGCTCATTTCTGCTTGCCCCGGGACGTGTGAGTTTTCACTGGGCATGAATGGTGACCCACTAATCCTGATAATCCCGGTTCATGTCGATGACGGTCTAGTTTCGACCAATTCCGCCACACTATACTCCTGGTTTATTCTGGCGAGAGTGGATGATGGAATCTTGGGGGTTTTGTTCATCCATTCATTCATTCATTCATACATTCCGTTGGTGTGAGACTCCCACCACTCGGGCACTCGAGCACGGAGCATGAGGGAGGGAGGAGGGAGGGAACGCAAAATGCAACAGAATGCAATAGAACAGAATGCAACAGAACCACGTGTACACTCTCCACTCAACTTGGAGAGTGTACATGTGGTTTTTTACCAATTCCCTCGGGGCGCCTGGCCCAGCACACAAGGACACCCGACCCAAGAACCCAGCTCCGAACTCGCGGAAACCCAGCACCCAACACACAAAAACATAGTAAAAACCCAACTCCCCAAACTTGTTCCACTGGTCCATGTAGGGACGTACCGGGATTCGGAGGCTGTGCCTTCGAAGAGTGCTCAAAGAGCGTCAAAGATCAAAGAGAGCGGAGCTTGCGCCTTTGAAGAGTGCTCGAAGGTGGGCAGAAGAGTGCTCGAAGAACCTCGAAGAACTTCAAAGAGTCCTCAAACATCAAACAGTCCCTCAAACACTCAAAGAGCTGGATTCGGGACTAGGACCAGGACCAGGGCAGAGGGTCGTTGAAGCGCGATTGCGATTGCGATTGGAGAATGAGGTGCAATCAAGGAATGAGGTGTATGAGATGAGACGGAGACGAGACCAAGATGAAGTAGGAGACTGAGAGAAACTGAGAGTTACGTTGAAGTAGGTTAGTGAGGCATTGTAGTTGAAGTAGGTTGGTCTTGGTGTGGGTGTCTAGTAGGACTCAGGAGAGTGGTGTTTTTAAGTGGATGAGGGGATGGGAGATGGGAGACGAAGGGAATGGGGTTGTATAGTATGCACAGGCAGCACAGACGGTTGAAGGGAAGCGTAGTATGGGATGAAGACTATCAAAAAGACTCAAGAGGATGTTGTATGTCAATGTATGCGTATGTGTACTTTGTGTCTCCATGGCAAACGCATACAGGTGTCTCTTTGGAATCAGAGGAACAAGTTCGAGGACTTTGTTGAATGCCCAAAGAGAGTATGATTTCGAATGGATTCATCGAGTGGCAACTATTGGGACTCAACTCTCCACCTCCAAGTTCCAGCTGTCTCTCAACCATCCTAGCGCCCACGCACCACTTCTCCATTTTCCTCCCATCTCAACTTCAACAACAACCCCGGCTTCCAACTGTAACAACCCCAACAACCCCAATTTCCACATCTACATCCGACTCGCGGACTCTTCGAACATGACTCGTAATTCAATATTCAATGACCGGGTGGAAACTTTCTGTTAAGATCATGTACACCGTGTAACCGTGCCAAAGCCACAAGGTGTCTAAGTGCGGAAGACGAGTGGGACAGTAGTGAAGTTATTAACAACACCGCCGTTACGCCGTTAGTCCCCGGAGATCGAGAGTAGAGAAGGGAGGAACTGAGAAGCAGCCAAGTCGGAGCGGCGGTATCGCCGGTAACGAGGAGCGAGCCAGAGGACGTCTAGTCCTAAGGTAGCGTAGAGAGTACTTCAAGGCGTTGAGCCTGAAGACTTAGAGAGCACAGAGTGGAAGAGGGAATCTAAGTCGATAATTAAACTGAGGAACTACAGTAGCGTACAGGCAGTATTTATATCTACGGAACGGCGCATCGGTGCGGAGCGCCAGACTAACTACTAGGAGCTATACGAGTAGTACCTGCAGGGTAGAGTAAAAGACAATAAGGAGAGACTAGAATGAAAGAGTAAAGACAATAATGAGAGACTAGAACGAAAGGATATGTGTAGCGAGAAAGAACAATAAGAGAAAGATTACAATAAAGGTAGATCTTCGGAGTGCCGGGCGGTGGGATGGAGGCCCGAGGCATGGACTTGACAGTATCCCCCTCTTAGGCTTGAGCCCTCGAAAGCCATTAATACCGGGAGTTGGTTAGTCACCAAAGAAAAATTTAAAGGCCGTCAGCATCGGGAATTTGGCCTATCAGTCAGCGGGGAAATTTTCAAAAGCCGTTGGTACCGGGAATTGGCGTTAGTCATCAGTGAAAATTTCGGTTCACCGTAAACCAAACACAATTCGAAGAAAAATTTTCGCTGGTCCGTGCGCCGTTTTTGCCATATAAAAGGCCCAGGGTTTTGCCGCTAAGGCCCTAACTTTTCCAAAAATTCTAAGTCCACCAAAATGTCGACAAGTCGAACAACTACCACCACTTCTACCACCGTCGGCTCTATTTCGGTCACCGGCCGGCAACCAACTCCCCCGCTGGCTCCGACCCGCCCCTCGACGCCCGATCCTTCAGATGAAGAGCGCGAATTGGAGCTTCAACTGGAGCGCACCAGGGAGAGGAACAGGAAGCGGAAGGAGGAGAAGAAAAAGGCCGAGGAAGAGGCTAAACGGAAGGCAGAGGAGGAGAAGCAGAAGCAGAAGCAGAAGGCCGCCGAACGGGCCGCCAATGCCAGGAAGTTGGAGGAGGAAGCAGCGGAGAAGAGGAGGAGGATAGCAGCAGCCGCGGCAGCGCGAAACCGCCGGGGCCCTTCCCCAGGTGAAGCATCTACTTCCGCTCGTCGAGTGGAAGTAGAAGTTCCTCGGGTGGTTAGGAAAGCCAAGGGCAAACAGAGGATGGAGGTGAGTGATTTCTGCCATATCCTCACCGACTTACTAACTCTAAGTTTTTTAGGCTAGCGGCGGAGATCCGGACGATGGCGGAGATGGCGGAGATGATGACGATGAAGACGACGATGAGCGAGTTCCCTGCGAACGATGCAGGAACAAGCAGATCCCTTGCCAGATGCAGGCTGGCAAGAGGAGTTCAATTATTTGCAAACCCTGTCACGACGCTAAGGTCAGATGCTCGTACTCCGGGCGGCCTTCGACGGTGAAGCGAGAGGGGGGAGGACAACCAATCGGCGAGCGCCTGGCGATCTTGGAGAGCCAGATGGCTCAGCTGCTGGCAGACAACCGGCAGCTTCGAGAGGGCCAGTTGAAGGACAACACCTACAACCGCCATATCAACCGCAAGTTGGACTGGTTGATGACGGACGCCGCGAGAAGGAGGAAAACGCCACCGGAGATGCCGGAACCAGGACCTTCGCGGCTGCCGAAGAAGAGGAGAAGGGTCGTGGATAGTGAGGAGGAAGAAGAGGATAGGAGGATGGGAGAAGAAGAGGATGGAGAAGGAGAGGAGGAGGTAGAGGAAGAGGGAGAACCGGCGCCAAAGAAGGCCCGGTCGGAGAAAGGGAAGGAGGGAGCGGAGTACAGTAACATCGGACATCGGACATCGGCCTTCGGCCATCTTCTTGTACTCTTCTTGTTGCCCTGCCTTCGTTATATAATTTTGTTTTTTGGACTTTGTATATATAAAAAAAATGTTAACTCGATTTTGAAATCGGAAAGCGAATGGGCCGCAAAGCGGCGTAAGAAGTAATTAGTACGAAGTGTAATTAGTCTAAGTGTGAAAGAAATATAAGTGAAATAGTAGATAGAAGGAGAATGTAAGCAATTAAGAGAAAGAGATAAACACTCAATTTGCTATCATCGTGTTTATTGTTAAGATCATGCAACCCGTGTAACCGTGCCAGAGGTCACAGAGTGTCTAAGTGCGGAATACGAATGGGACAGTAGTGAAGTTATTAACAACACCGCCGTTACGCCGTAAGTCCCCGGAGGTCGAGAGTATAGAAGAGAGGAGCTGAGTAGCAGCCAAGTCGGAGCGGCGTTAACGCCGGTGACGAGGAGCGGACCAGAGAACGTATAAGTCCTAAGGTAGAGTAGAGAGAGCTTCAAGGCAGTAAGCCTGAAGACTTAGAGGAGCACAGAGTGAAAGAGGGAATCTAAGTCGATCTAAGTTGATCTAAGTTGATAATTAAACTGAGGAACTACAGTAGCGTACAGGCAGTATTTATATCTACGGAACGGCGCATCGGTGCGGAGCGCTAGACTAACTACTAGGAGCTATACGAGTAGTACCTGCAGGGTAGAGTAAAAGACAATAAGGAGAGACTAGAACGAAAGAGTAAAAGACAATAATGAGAGACTAGAACGAAAGGATATGTGTAGCGAGAAAGAACAATAGGAGAGAGATTACAATAAAGAGCAGATCTTCGGAGTACCGAGCGGCGGAATGGAGGCCCGCGGCATGGACTTGACAGTATCCCCCTCTTAGGCTTGAGCCCTCGAAAGCCATTAATACCGGGAGTTGGTTAGTCACCAAAGAAAAATTTTAATGGCCGTCAGCATCGGGAATTTGGCCTATCAGTCAGCAGGAAAATTTCCAAACGCCGTTAGTACCGGGAATTGGCGTTAGTCATCCGTGAAAATTTTCGGTACACCGTACACCAAGTACAATTTGAAGGAAAATTTTCGCTGGTCCGTGCGCAATTTTGCCATATAAAAGGCCCATAGTTTCGCCGATAAGACCCAAGTTCCCAAAACTTCTAAGTTCGGACAATGACTAGTCGCACTACCACCACTACCGTCTCTACTACCGCCGGCCCTTCGAGGTCACGACCCGCCCCACCGCCACCCATCGACCTTACCGCCCATGACGAGGAAGGTTTGGAGGAAGAGGACGAGGACGACATAATCCGCAAGGCGCAGGAAAGGGTAGAAAGAGTAAGGGCGAGGAAGGCGGCGGCAGCGGCGAAGAAGGCCGCGGAGGAAAAGGCTGCAAGGGCGGCAGCAGTCCGAGAGCGAGCGGCGCAGGAGGCGCGAGAGCGGGCCATTCGGGCTCGTCAGCAAGAAGAAGAGGTTTTGGAACGGAGGAGGCTGTTGGCCGAGGCGGCGACCGCCAGAAGTCAGAGGGAGACTTCTCCAAGTGAAGTGTCTGCTTCCCCAAGGAGGCCTACGGTGGAACTTCGGCGAGCGGCGAAAGGAAAAGGGAAGGCAAATGCCCAGGTGAGTCAAGGTTTTGTGGTTCCACTCCCCTTACTAACGCTTTTGTTTCTAGCCGGTGGGCGGAGATCCCGACGACGGCGATGACGGGGACGACGACGACGACGACGAAGACCGCGCACCTTGCGAACGGTGCAAGACCAAAAAACTCCCTTGCCAAATGCAGGCAGGCAAGAGGAGTTCGATTATTTGTAAGCCCTGTCACGATGCCAAGGTGAGGTGTTCCTACTCGGGGCGCCCCACAACCTCGAAACAACGGGAAGGCGGTTCCGGCGAACGAATTGCCGTCTTGGAGAGCCAAATGGCTCAGAGTCTGGCGGACAGCCGGGCGCTACGAGAGGCGGACTCGAAAACCCACCAATACCTCCGCCAACTGTTGAGGAGGCAAGAAGACGACCATGCCCGCCTGATAGCCATGGAGACGAGAATGGCAATGATGGGAATGGGAGGAGGATCGGCGACGGCTGGACCGTCGAGGGGAACTACCGAGCGGCGGCGTCCGCTGAAGCGGCGGAGGGTTGTGAGGGAGAGTGACGAAGAAGAGGAGGAGGAAAAAGAAGTGCAGCAAGGTATGGAAGAAGATGGAGAAGGAGAAGTAGAGGAGGAAAGAGGAGAGATGGAGGTAGAGGAAGGAGGAGAGGGGGAGGCACCGGCGCCGACGACGGCGAAGACGGTGACCTCTGACAAAGGAAAAGAGAAGGAGTTAGTAGAGTAGTAGAGTCACGGACATCGGACATCGGCCCTGCGGCCCTTCTTGTAACTTCTTGTAGTCCTCTGCCTCCTGTATAATCTTGTTTTGTTTTTTGGACTTTTGTAT